CAGCTTTAGGAGTATAACCGGCACTCATAACAATTTGAGGTACAATTAGATAAATTGGAGGCAAAGCGGGCGCTGCTGATGGCGGTGGCGGAGCAAACTCAGGAGCTGCACCGGATTCAGAAGCTGATGCAGAATCGCCAGGAGGTGGCGGAGCAAACTGGGGCTCAGCAGCACCAGAAGCACCATTTGCAGCAGACGATGCTGACGCTGCACCAGAAGGGCAAGAACCGGAGGCTGATGCACCGTTACCAGGAGGAGGAGGAGCAAATAAAGGAGTCAGCCCTGCAGTGCCTCCATTAACTCCACCGGGAGGAGGTGGAGCAAATAGCGGAGTAAGTCCTGATGTACCTCCACCAGGAGGAGGAGGAGCAAATAGAGGAGTCAGAGCAGCAAGAGGATTCAGTGCCGATATTGCTGATGTTCCACCGCCAGTACAAACAGGAGCATTGAAGGGACCACTTGCACCTGCGCATATTGATGTCGATGCCGGACAGCTTGGTGCAGGAGGTGAGCAAGGTTGGCAACAACTATAATGTGAATGGATGGATGTACATTAAGTTATATGAAAAAAGAAGAACGCACCAACAGCACTGGGCACCGGCTCCAATGCCAAGACCACCGCCTAGTCCGCCAAGGCCACTGCCTAGCCCTCCGCCTAGCCCGCCAAGGTTACCGAGTCCACCGAGACCTCCTCCAAAAAAGCAGGCTTCAGATGGTATGATGTATACCGGCAATATTACAATCAATAATCGCATGCCCAAAACTGGAATGGAATTATACGGAAATAACGAGTTCATTAACATTATGAAAGAAAATCTAGAAAAAGCTCTTACCTGGCAGGTATTCAGATTCACATGGAACAGTGGCTTCAAACACAACCGCTTATATAGCCATTAGGGTGACGTCTGCGAGCTAGTTTCTTGGCTTGATAGAGAACCAATCCGTACGTATGAGAACGTAATGACATCTTTGCTAGCATGTCCGTTGAAACTGGCATTGTCGTCGGAGGTGGACCGTTTATGACCAGCGAGTTCATTTTAAATGCTGCTTAATGACACTATCTTAAGCTTGTTAGGATGGCTTATCATCTCAAAAAAGGTATGAACAAGAATGCTTTGAGAACTGCACCAGAGAACAATGCATCCATATGTGATTGCATTTCCATCTCAAACGAGTGATTTCTATATATGCGTTAAATGCGCTGTCTAATCCGAAAGGCACTTTCGATTGAATTTCCTCTATCCTCT